AGGAATTTTGCGGTTGATGTTCACAGTTAGTTTAGTTTCAGTAATCGTGATAATTTAGAAATTGAAACATTAAAAAATTAAAAAATGCTTAAAAATTAGTAGGATCTCTTTACAAAGTCAAAGCCAATATATTTTACTATAATTCTTAATTTCTGAAATAAAATTTAAGTCATTTATATTTTTCATCAGCTACATTCCTTTTCAGGATATGGGCATAAATGCAAGTCAATTTGCAGTTTGCGACGTATCAGCAGAAACTTTACACATATTGGATTTGCCAATATGCCAACAAATTAAAAGCATTATGTTACTTACGACGAATGACTCGTAAGTAAAATATTTAATAATAAGATACACATATCTATAATAAAATAAATATCAAATCATCTATACATATATACATTCATATATACATTTCTGATACAACCCTTAATTCATTTTTACACAAAACTCGTACTTGGTATATCAGATTAATTGCTCTAATTGCAAACTTTTTTTTATATCGGAGAAACTAGCCAAAACCTGAGTAAACGTCATCACATAAAAATAACTCAAAAATTCCCAAACAATTCAAAACGATGTTAAATGAGCATATTATTATTTTAAACCAATATAAATAAAGAAATAAAAAAAGATTCGCTGAGGGGTTGTTTCTGCAATTGCATAACAACAGGGTCATAAACAAACGATTCGACAATACAGTCCTGAACAAAACAAACACGTGGTTCCTAAATAGCGTGTCAAAATTTCTTAAAAATGTCTAAGATCCCATCGCTTTTTAAATGTTCCGTAAAATTTGAACACATGTTAAAAACTGTTTTAAGAAAAATGTGACATTTCTATCTTAAACTCCGAATCGTTTAATATTTCTGAAATTAAGTAAATTACAAAACAATCTATATATATATATATATATATATATATATATATATATATCTGATCCTGAAAGTTGCAAAGCAAATATATGTTTTTTTCCAAATAATTTAATATTTTTGAAACGCTGTCTTGACAAAATAATAAAGCACAAAGCATTGATAAATAAATTATCTGTTACCATTGACATAGGCTCGCATACCAGTATTATTGTCTGCGATAAAATAAAAACGAAAGCGTATATAAAAGTTGAACTAATGAATGGCTGTGACAATAATTGAGAAAGTGTATTTGTAGGGCAGAGTACGATAGGGGACATCAGTCCGGCTACAGTATGAGAGTGCCGGACGTTGCCCCCCAGAGATCAGCGATAGAAAAGTATTTTCGAAGACAAACTTGGGTCCTGGCATTGGAGGATGGAGTCGTTCTGGTTTGCGGATACATGAAACATAAGTATATTCTAAAAGAAGGTAAATGATCAAAAATTATCTTGAATTTGTTAGAAGACTCATCTTATATTATGTATATTATGTATTTGTTGCAGTTCTAATTACAATCACTGATTTGTTACTAAGTTATAATGAAAGAAAATATATTTATTTTTATTGGTTATTTACATGTTGTTAAGCGGACTTTACTTTTTGAAGTGAACAACCAGTTCAATTAAAATACTCCGCTACCCCCTCTACCAGGGGTAGCAACCATTCCGTGTAAAGATTAATGCCCTGAAGTTTTGTCACCTTCATGGCCAATATAATAAAACGAAAAGACGTCCGAACATGCCGGCCGCCTTGAAAAGCGGTATACATATTTATTAATATTTACAATTATTTCTAGGTACTAAAAATACACCTGATGTTTGGAGGTGAAGGGGAGTAATTTTAAGATCAACACGTATTATAGAGAAGAAAGGGGGTGGTCTTAGAAATCGATCACGTGATTAATATACGGCCCCTAGTCGACTCAATCAACAAAAAATCAATATTTTCATTTATAATAAGTGATTTATAACTGTTCCAAGTTGCTATAACGTTACAAACTTTTGCGCCTTATTAAATTTTGCACACATACTTTTTCCAATTTTGATGTCAAACGATTCAGAAGAACTTGAAACTTTGAAAAACCATAAAGTTAGCAAATCGGATTTTATAGAAAAGCTTAAACTTCTTTTCTCGGAAAGTTATTAAAAACATATAGTTTTATTAATTAATTAATCAATCAATCAAGTTCTTAAATCTAAATAGAATGTATATAGTCGATTAGCGTTAATGAAAAAATAAACATAAATCATAACAATTATAAAAAATAAACAATTTCATTTAGATATGTGTTAAATATATCCGAATATTTTAAGAAAAAATATCTAACATCTAATGAAACATTATGTAACTTTATAGGCCTATTCATATCCTCCCATTATATTGATTTTCAAATTACACCTATTCAATTTATTTTGAAAATTAAATATAATAATTATTCAAGAACAAATAATTTAAGTTCGTTCAGCTAACTAATTTTTTTTATTAAAAACTTATTATTATTTATATTTTTGTTCTGTGAACCGTAGCATGATACTACAAAATTTATATGCATTTACAAACAGATGATTCATGCTGCAATTTCTAAGTGTGTTTAATTGAAAATGTCTCACAAATTAAAAGCTCAAACGATAGCAACAAGACTAAAATTAATTGGAATAACTATAGTTATCAAACCAAAATAGAATTTGCAAACCTCGTAATAAGTTTTTCACCCAATATCAAAAACACTAAATGAATATACCAACTGAGCAAAGTCAATTTATTAGGGTCACGTATTGCTAAAGAGTGTAATTTTTATTATATATTTAAGTTAATTTTTAATCAATATATTGACTTATTAACTATTATGACAATTTATGTCGATAAAAATCATTTATTATATTTCAGGTGCTATATCACGATGTTTTGGTCGTCACCTCGATCCAAATCAATTTTTAATTGAGCAAGATAAAATACAAGTAGGAAGAGCAGGACAAATATTTTTTTATTATTACTTTGTTAACAATAATGACTTGAGTGTTCGTAAGTAAACATTTAACAAATATTCAACAATATTATTAACTGCAAATATAATAGACAATCAAATGTTTAGAGGAAACTTTATTGGTTGATGGTGTTATGGACCCCAAGCCTATATTTTTTAAAAAGACTTGGTATGTTTCGCCTCTTGGAGGATTCTATGTGAGCATTTTTTTTTTAAATTAGATATTAATTATCAATAACAAGAATTACACGCCTATAAATATTTTATACAAAATTATAACACTAATGATATAATGACATCGTGACTACCAGCTTAATTTTTTAATCAAATATTATCATTTCTCATGCTTTGATTATGTGATATCTCCAAATACGACCGAGACGATGTTTATAAATTACATCACGCACATTGCATATATAATATCAATGTTATTATTTAAGAGATAAAAATGATATTTTAAGAATTCAATTTATAAATATCTCAAAACTTGAGATACTCAAAAATTGAGAACTTTGTCTAATTCTTTCAGATTAACTGTGTAGGCGTAACAAAAGGCGATATTTTCGATCATTCATTTCTCAGACACGAATGGCACTTTGTTGAAAAAAGTAAATATGCCAGATGTAATGGATTTAATATTTTGATTGATCAACCAAGACATGGTGATACTGCCTGGATGATTAAACCAAGTTTATAGTATGTATAAAAATAAAAAAAAAATAAAAACATCGAAAATACTTAATTTACCAAACAATCCTAAAATCTTCTATGTATCAAATCCAGTTGCAACTTTAATTGACTAAATCGTACTTGTTCGTTTTTTCATGTATCTCAGTTTTCTTCTTTAATTGAATAAACTATATAATTTATGTTAATGCTGTCATAGAGGCTTGTGATTTTACACCAAAAATTAGAAACTAGTTTGATACGTTACTCAGGAAAAAAAGTTTAAAAATTAATCAGTTTAAAAAACATCGATAATTCATGAAAAAGTTCACCATCATGCTAAAGCATTTTATACTAATATTTTGTAATTATTTACAAACGTTTATTTTATCAAAGTTCTGTAGATAATGATTTATAATATTTATTTCATATTCTTGTTAGTGTTGAAGGTCGAGAAGGAATAGTTTTAGACTATTTTAGAAACAATTCATCCTCAGCACCTCCGATTTTTGTTTCTGCTAAGGGTAAGTACCACATATTAAATTGAATTTTTGGCTTAATCAAAATATTATAGTTTAACTGATTGAAATTATTTATAAATTTTAATTAAAATTTTGTTTATCACAGATGATATGATGATGAAATGCGGAAGTTTCACTTATAGTGTCCGAAAAAATGAAGTCGTATCATGCAATCGTTTGCAATTTGTTAGTAATGGAGGTAATTTATTTTTTATCACAAGAAAAATAATAAATGTATATGTAAAAATAATATAAACTTTACTATTACTCTATATCGAACATGTGTAATGAAGTTATAGGTATAGTATGCATAAAAATTTGTATGGAGAGGTCAACTCTTTTAAATCAATGTCACGTCAAGATTAGTTTTATCTATATTAAACTGAACATTCATTTTTAAAATTTCAATATATTTTGTTTTTTAGACAAACACAACATTATAGAAGGCGTCGAAGGAGTAACTTATTACTATCCTCTTGAGATACATTCAGACGTCGCCAATAATTATAATGCCAATCATACCGATAAATATATATCCCTTGACTTTTTAAATTTTGGAAAGCATTTTGGAGGTATGTTTTTTTCAAGGTATAAATAAAATTATTTTAAATCAGTGTAATATATAAATTTTTAACTTCCAGTTCAAGAAGGCTTAGTTCTTCGATTAGTTCGCAGTAAGTTCTATAATGATTTATAATAATTTGAATAACAATTATTTATTGCGTTTATTTATTTAGCAAATTTGCCAGAAAAAGATTCTAAACTTACTACACTGTCTAAGCTCAGCCCGGAAACAGAAGTTAAATTAAAATATTTGACACAACAACGTGTCACATGGGAAGCTTATACATAAGCAGTAAAAAAAAATCTAATTACTATTATTATAAAAGCATTTAAATATGAATAAATTCGTACCTGAAATAGCCATTGATACGTCCAATTCATTTTTTAAAATACCCAGAATGTTTTCCACTCCTTTTTGTCCTCCGAGAGCAAGACCCCAGAGAGCAGGACGTCCAAAAAATACCTAGAAAAAGATAAATCAAATTTTGAAAATAATCATAAAAGTATAATATTAATTAGGATGCATAATTTCGGCAATACGTTCTTTATAACTAGAGTTATATTTTGAATAAGTTCTATATAATATTAAAAATGAAAAATTTTAATTTACAAAAATTTACAAAATTAGGTCCTCAAAAATAAAATACATTTTTTTGTCAAAACGTGATGACTGATTTGATTATTAGCAGCGTGATATTAATTTATTATATAAAAACTAGTTTAATAATTATATAATTTAAAATTCTCTTATTAAACTAGTTTAATAATTTAATAATTATAATGAATGAAAATTCCAAATATGTTTTGAAATATACAAGAGCTCAAAATTTTGCTTTATAATTGTTTAAGCATTTTATCAGTTATCGCAAGTAATTAGAGGTAATTAACAAGCGGCATTGATTTTATCAAACGTGGGAATATAAAACTCTTGACATTGAATAATGAATTGATTAGAAAATAAATTCTCAAGATAATATTCATATACTAATAATATTTACCATTTTTGCGCCTAATGCAAGTGCTTTGAAAATATCTTCTCCTTGTCGAATTCCTCCGTCCATAATAACAGTTGTTTTATGACCCACAGCACGAGCAATTTCTGGTAAAGCTTCTATCTAAAATTATTAAATAAATAATAATTAACACAATTCAGAAAATACTAATAACATATTTTAGAGAAGTTCATCATCATTACCAAATCAACTATTGCATTATTGAAATATAAATTATTGTAATCTTTTTTCAGAAATAATTGTTTCTAATTAAATTACTGCTATTTTGCATCTAATTGCAATATGTAATTAATTACCGAAGCTGGCACGCCATCCAGTTGTCTCGCTCCATGATTAGAGACCACAACGCCTTGTACTCCGATTTCAACTGCTTTTATGGCATCTTCAGCAGTTAGTAAACCTTTTACCAAAACCGGCAGTTTAGTAATACTGAAAAAAATATATTTATTATGATAGAGCAATTTCAGTTCTCAGTTTGAATTTTCCTGGTCTACCTAATTAACCACTTGACATCATCCCACGTTAGGGTTCCATCAAACTGTTTTGTTACGTAGTCGGTCAACCCTGAGGAATCACGTTCGATGGTAATATCTGTGGATTTTTGGCCCTCGAAATTGCCTAATCTGTAAAATTAACAAAATATAATAGAATTTGTTGGTTACATCGCAATGTTAGAGAATAAAGCTGTTATTTTATATTAAGGGGCACAACTAATGTAACTGCCTAAAAAAAGGTGATTTTTGGGAATTTATATTAAAAAAACTACTTTATCAATCATTTCAAAATTTTAGGAATATATTTATACATGTTTTAATAATACATAGTAAATTTTTGAAGAAACAAATTAAATCTTTTTTAAGTTATTGTCGATCTCCAACGGCGCGACAAAAAAAGGCCCTTCACTGCTGCAGTGATTCCGGCCTTCTACGTGGATGAAATTAAAAAAAAAAAATCTCGTTAAACTAGATAATATTGTCTGTAAAATGAACTATGATAAAGAAAAAAAATCAAAAATTGACAAAATGACGGCGTTTTTTTTAAAAAAAAAGTCGAAAAGTTACCCAAAATTTTGGTCGTTTTTGGACTGCCAAAATTCGATTTTTGATCCGATCAAAAAATAGTTCATTTTGCGGAGATCTATATATAGAACATGTAAAAAAAAATTGATAGTGATCGGATCTTTTTTTTTCAGTAATCACTGCAGCAAATTCGGAAAATGCTGTTTCGAGAAAAACGCGTTTAAAGATAAAATGATCGTTATATTATATTCTATATATATATACTCTTTAAATGGCTGTGACTCAAAAACTATTTAAGATATCGAATTAAAATTTTGGTATGTTATTTTTAAAGGTATAACCTATCGAAATATGAAAATTGAAAATTCGAATTTTTGAAAATTTCACACTAGTTGTGCCCCTTAAATTTCTATCCAGTATATAAAATTTATTATCTTGAATTATTCATACTTTGGACCATAATCAGTTGCAATTGATTTGATATGACGTAGATACCATATTGAAATGCAAAACAAATACTTTATCTCAAGAAGGAATTCCAAAGATAAATATCAAATATGATTAGAATGCATATTATTCAATTCAAAGTATCATTGAATTATATAAAATTCGAACCTTATTAAATTGTATACTTTGCCTACTTTGCAGAGAGCATTACCCTAAGGATTTTTGACACATAGAAAATATGATAAGCTTCAAAAGTCTTATAATAACTCTTCTGTTCCTTACTTTAAATGTGAGGGCAGTTTAAATTTATTTCTTATATCGGCTCGTCTGAGACCAAATACTGGTGCGTCTACTGTTAGTACCAAAGCCCTAAAACCGCACGCTTCAGCTCTTCTTACAAGATCAATTGTTAGTTGTCTAAAA